TTGGGTGAAGGGATAAAGCAGCAGAGTGATAACCACAGCGTAAGGTAGAAAACTCAATGAAATCATTTGAGGAAAGGCCAAGGGAGGTCTTTGCTGCCAACTTTCAATTATAAGATGCTGCCCCACCCCCTCAAGGCCACCCATGCATAGCCTGGAGCCTGCAGCTGCAGTAGAGGAGTCTTTGAAGGGTCAAAGGGAGACCCGAACCTCCCACCTCAGCCCACCCCCCATTAGAAGGCAAAAGATTTAGACCATGTGGAAGTCACTGTGGAGTTGCTCTTAGGGATTTTAACTGGGTACCATCATGAGCTTTATCATTAGCCTTTCTAGAAAGCATTTACTATCCCACAGACACTACTTTACAGCTTTACATGTATTATTTCATCGAATAAACAGGATCAAAGAGAGACAATGCAAAGTAGCATGCCCCGCCCCCTGCCTGGGGGCTCCAGAAGGAAAACCAGCCCAAGGGCCAGCCTGGCCAACTCCTGCCAACTCTGGAACAGTTCTTGTCTCTCAGGGTTGGATCAGACCTCTCTGGGGAAGGATGATCCATGTACACTTTCAGGGATTCCAAAGGCTGGGAGGGAGCCTAGGCCCACAGAGGGCTAAGTGTTCTCCCCAGGCCTTACTTTATGAGCTCAACAATCCTCCAGACACCAACAGATGTCCCCAAGCAACTCTGTTGCTGGATGCCAGAGTCTAGAATTACAGCCACAGACCCTCAGACCAGCCATAAGCAGCAAGGTTACCTGTGAAGTTCTTTTCATTTGAATGGGGTGGGGGCCCATGGTTCTTTGGTGGTGAGAATTGGGCTTGGAGGTAAGGGAGGGAGAAAGAAAGGCTAGAATTAGTCGATTGTTATCTGGAGATAACTCACTATTTCATAGATTGTTTTATAGCATTTTACACTTTACAAAATGCATTAAATATATTGAGCTCTTTTAATCCTCACATCGTTAAGAGGGAAGCTCGTTAGCTTCATTTTGTAGCTGAGGTTCGGTAACTCACCAAGGCTGCACAGATTGGCCCAGGTCTTCTGGCTCTGCGATCATTATTACCAATCGACACCTTACATACGGACAGATTGAAGCCTCTTGGAAGAAAGAATGAATGAATGACTCTCTCCCCAGCGAGACACCACAGAGGATATAAGGAAGAGTCATTTCTGGTTTTAAGGAAACTAAAAGTAACATTTCCCCTCCCCTTTCTCCACACACCCTCCCCCATAACAACAATCACACAATCAAGTTTGTTGGCACCTATTGTTGGTTTTGGAGGAGTAGACTACCTTTCAAACAGTGTCAGCAATACTTGAGATCCAGCAAAATGATGGAGTCTCCCAGAGAGCATTCCTAAGGCCCAAAGTGTGGCTCCTTTTACAAAACGTTCTGTGGAAGCTCTAACTTTTAATTCATCCCACCAAGGAGATAATTTGATTGTTTCCTGGAAATGCTAACAATGCGAGGCTCATAAATACTAACGAAACAGTATAGATTAGCAGAGCTCAGCAAGTAAACTGGGGGGGCCTAGAAGAGAATTCTTAGATGAAAAAATAACAAAGAATACCTTTTTAATTGAATTTTCCCCAGACTGGGCTCCCAAATGTTCATGAATACTCTCCTTGGCCATATGGAGAGTAGACTCAAATAAGTACCGTCAGGATTCCAAAAGTGAGTTATTGACTTAGCTTTAGCTTGAAAAGAAATCTATTTATTCAAAGGCTATTTTAGGTGTCATGGGATAGACGAATTTGAGACAAAGGTTGGGAGTGGTAGGAGGGCCTAAGGGGCACAGAGATAAACACATAATTCAAATGCACGCTTCTATTTCGGCCAACTAAGCAACCTCAGTTGACATTTGCTTATTATATTTGTCTTTTACAACATGGTCCCTCAATAATAGTAACTCTCCTGGAAAATACAAGTCCCCGTGTCTTTGTCCTTCATCACTGAATCCTAACAGCTAACACAGTGTGTGGCACGTATTAGGTGCTCAATAAATGATCATTAAATGGATAAAGAGCTCTCTTAAGACATTTTCCAGGGCTGTCCTCACCCTGTTATCTTTTCTTGAAGGGCATCCTCCTATTACAAAGCCCCCAAATAAACACACACCCCATGGAGGCCCTCTCTACCCTGGCCACAACCTACAGTCCTCCTCTCTCACACTCTGAGCCCCAGGCTCACCAGAAGGCACCCTGTTCTCCTGCCATGTTCTAAAAGTTTCTCTGCCTAGAATCTGTGCACATCCTTTTACCCATGTTTCTCTGTCAAGATCCGGCTCCTCTTTCCAGGTCCTCCTCGGATGGCTCTGTCTTCATGAAAAAATGCCCTGATATTCTCCAAGGGCTCAAAGCCCTTCCTCGTTCTCCCTGGTTGAATCCAAAAGTGGGCCCCTGATGCATGATGCTCCCTGCAGGGACCAGTGTGACATCTGGCAAGAAGAGTTTGTCAACAAATATGGTGGTGGTGTCTAATCTGAGTCATAGACATGCAGTACAAGGCGCATTTGGTCCCAGAAAAGTATACGTGTGAATCAAATTAGTGAAAAATACCCAGAGTCTTCCCTCAACAGAGCAGGACATTCCCTCCAGATGGGCCAAAAAACTCTGGGGCCAAACAAGGGCTGGAGTAAAAGCTAAGGTGATGGCAAAGCAAGAAGGAAAAGCCAGAGAGACAAGTGGGTGAGAAGGAGCAAGACCGTGGAGTGGCCTTGATGAGGGAGGGGGGCAGTTAGAGGATGCTCAAGGGTGTGTTTTCTCAACAAAGAGGCTGTGGGCTTGATGGTGTGTGGGCAGATCCATGGCATGTGATGTTCCCAGGGCCTCAAAGGGGCTCAGGCAGAGCTTCTGGCAAGGGGATGTGACTTCTCAGAACGTTTTTCTTTGTTGCATGTTGAGTTTAAGTTCAGGCAGTCATATGCTTTCTATAAACCTCCACTTGAGCAGGACTGGATTTTTATTGTATGTATCTTCTGCATTTGTGAAGTATCTGACAATGGGAAATAAATCACTCTGTAGTCTTTTTCCACAACAGATTGGGATAAACATTGAAGTCAATCCGGGGAATGGCCACATATTGTAAGATTCTATAAATCCAGGCCTACTTGCCAAAATGGGTTAATTCCACACAAAGGAATAGGAGGCTCAGAGCAACACCTGTGAGGAGCTCACCCCTCGGGGATCTGGAGCCAAACTTTCCAGAATCAGTAAGGCCAGCTCTGCCAGTCACTTGGTGTGTGATCTGTGCCTCTGCCTGTTCACCTGCAAGATGAGGGAAATAACTGTACCTCCTCCATTAAGTTGTGATGAAATGAAATGAGTCAGTTGGGGAGAAGTGCCTAGAATGGTGACTGGGATCTCAGTGCCATTGCTTAGCATTACTTCATTTTCATGGACCAGACGGCAAGGGAGTAGGTACCAATTTATACAATTGAATGATTTGTATACACGATGTGTGAGTCTAAATGCCAGCAGACTAGGACTGGGTTCAGGTGGACTTGGAAGGACACATGGGTACACGGGACACTTACAGAGTGCTATCTAAGGAATCAGGCTTCTGAAGACAACCCCCGAGTATAACACACTACCCAGGAGGGGACACACATGTGTGTCCCAGTGCAGGGCAACAGAATGAAGCCTGGACTTCATGCTGATTGTGAACCCAGGTCCCCCAGCACTTTTCTGCATAGACAATGCACCATCCTGTTGCTCTCTTTAAAAAATATAATTCATATGAAAGTGATTAGAAAAGTAGCAAGGAAAATGCAAATATAAAGTAATGTCATCGTCCCGAACTCTGGGTGTTCGGTGCATCTCTGCGTGGCCTTAGACATATCGCCTCCCCCATACTGGGCCTCAGATTCTTAATCTTTAAGCGAGAGCATTGGTTGGGATGATCTCTAAGGTCTCCAGCCTGAAAATCGATGAGTCTTTGATCTTTGGGTCCCAGGCCATGCCTGTACCAGACAGTCTTTTGAATTTCCTTGAAACATGCTGCCCTCCAAGTCTTTAGACACAAGAATCTGTGGATTCCAGAACCAAAGGAGCCTGTTAAGACTTCATACTCGAGAGCTGAGGCCTAAGATGTATGTGGAGAGGTGAAGGGGGTACCAGTGGAAGAAGGGCCACTCTGTACAAGCGACCAGCACAGCCCCGGCTGTAAGTTGAGCTCGGGATGGCAGTAGGGACCCCATCCCAGTTTCCAAACACCATTGCTGAGCAGCCCGCAAGACCCCTTTTCCACTGCAAAGAACAGGAACAGGCAGAGAAGGAGACTTGGGAATAGTTGGTTGAGGGACAGGAAGCAGAGATGAGGACAATGAGAGAGGACGGTAGAGACAGAGGGAACCAGCAAATGGTCTCCCATTTGCAAGGCTCGGTGAGTCCTCTTTGGGCACGGGAGTGGGGTGTAAGGAGGGAGGAGATGGAGCAGAGAAGAGAGCATGTAGGCAGGGGTGAGACAGGGCGAGAACCACTGACCTCTTAGCCTGGTGGAGATCGAAGCCCCCTGTGACAGGCAGCAAGATTTAGACATTTCAGCTTGTGCTTAAGCTTTGGTAAGTACTGAAAATGGCAAGTTGCATTCATAGAAAGTCACAAACAGCTCTCCCGCGAGTAGTAGGTGTTCGGCACCTATCAGGTGAGCTGCAGGGAGAGAAGATTGAGAGCTGCTCTTGCAGAGGCACCAACCCCCACCCAGAACACTGAATCTACACTTGATTCATTTATCCAGCAAATGCTGAGCACCTGCTACATGCTGGGTCTGACACACTATTAATTCTTGTACACTAAGCCCTATACAGTGTGTATAAGAATTCGTTAGTACCTACTTAAATGCATGCATTTATTTTATTTATTGAATTTCAATACCATTTCAGTGAACTCTGGAAATCTCCAATTCCCTCCCTTTTCCCAAGCTTAAAAAATATGATGTTGTTAAAAATCATAGACCATTCCCGCTGCGTTTCTCTTGAATTGTCTGTTTTGCTCTCTTTAGCTGCTAACATTGGCATGCCCAAACCCAAAGCTGGAAGAGGAATAACTTACAAGTGGACAAGGCTGCATCCTCTTGAGCCCAGGACTTGCTAGTGAGCTGAGAGTTTCCTTTGGCCCCAGTCTAGCCAAGCACCATGGAGAAAATCAGCTCCTTCTTCAGCCTCATTTGGGACACCATCTTGACCAAACACCAAGAGGGCCTCTTCAACACCATCTGCCTGGGCATCCTTCTGGGGCTGCCGCTGCTAGTGGTCATCACGTTCCTCTTCATCTGTTGTCATTGCTGCTGGAGCCGGCCAGGCGAGAATGGCCAACAGCCAGAGCGAAACAAGGGGAAGAAGAGGAAGAAGAAGAAGAAGGCTGAAGAAGACCTCTGGATCTCTGCTCAGCCTAAGCTTCTCCAGATGGAAAAGAGGCCATCACTGCCTGTCTAGTTAGGCAGGAAGCATAGGCGTCCTTTCTCGGGGGCTAAGCCACCTTCTAAGTACACACAGGCTAGAGAGCAGCAATCCCTAAAGTGACGCGCTCATGTCCACAGAGGAACTAACCAAGGGACAAACCTCAGGCTGGGTGCCCCACCGGAGGACAGCCCGGGAAGAACACGGACAATTCTTGGGTACTGTCTTGGCAGCTATGTGTCCAATAGCAATGCTCTTTGCCACAGACTCAGGCATGCCTTCCACCTATCTCTAGCAAGCTCCATATGCAAAAGCACAAAGAACGTTTGTCCATACATCTTGACATGTCTCCCAAATGTGCACACATGCACACACATACACACACACACACATTCAGGCAACAGGTACCTGGGCAAATATATTCTGTTCATCAAATGTCCATTGAATATCTACTTTGTGCAAGTACATTATCTGCTCTCCCAAAAATGTCTCATAGGAAGGCCTGGCCAGATTCTAGCACACATGCACAATTATATAACGAGGCAAGGTACCTCTGCACTGTCTACCCATCTACCACTCAGGTTAGAGATATGTGCTTTCTTGTTCCTATTCCTCCATTACGTTTTACTGGAAATCCTCATATTTGGACATTCCAGCAACCTGGTACAGTTCCCATCCCTGTGTATTGATACAGACACACAAAGTTCCCATGTTTCTCATCTGGGAGGCAAAGCTTAAAGTGAGAAGGATCAAAATTCATTGAAAGCACCATCTTGCAACTCATGACAAGGTCCCCATTTCCACTGATAGGTATCTAATGTTGTCTAAGACCTCTCTTTGAGACGCTACCCCCAGAACCACTCAACAAGGTGCCCTTCTCCAAACACAAACAAACGGCTCTTGGAAGTGACTTCTAGAATTCTCTGGAAACCAGGCATACTCCATCCACTTCAGCGAACTGCAGCTGTGGACCTGGGCAGTGTCTGTTTTACAGATAGGAAAGGGATGTTACACCTGAGCTAGGGATCTCCTGTGTAACCAAAGCTTTTCAGCAGGGAAGGAATTAAGAAAATTTCTGGTACAGTCTCCCAGAAGGCCCACTGGAAACACTTTCATGAGGTTGTAATAAATGCATGGTATGCTGCAGATGGGATACAGAAGTTATAGAGTGTAAATGAAAGTAGAAGGAAGCTATATAGAGGTTTAGTCATATTTATCTCGAAGCTCAGGCAAGTGCCTTGCACACAGTAGGTACTTAGAACTGTCTGTGGTTGCTGTTGGATATGCAATGATGTTAAGGGTAAATGTGTAATACCTCGCTGATCCCCCCAAGTGACCTTCTTTTCTGAGACCACTAATTGCTGCAAAGGATGGAAGGTGGGCATTGAATGCTCCCCCAGAGGCTCCATGCAGAACCAACAGTCAGGTTGACGTGGGTGCGCTGAGACCCATGATGACAGGTAGACTAGATCCACAGGGAGTTGAGGAGAGTGTCTGTCTCCCCAGCAGGCTGAGGTTGGGAGGCTGAGTTAATCTATTTACGTGACAAACTGGTTGGTATTCTGATTGTATTGTGACCATATTATAAAGATGGAGACTTCCCAAATTGAGAGCGGGTTGTGCTCTGAAAGGTCACTTGCAAATCTGCTGGGTAGCTCTCTTGAAATATTTCCCCACAAAAGCTGTTCTAAATGGCAGTAAAGTTGCAATTTAATTAACAATGTAGCTAAACTTTGATAGCTGTTCTGCAAGATTGTGTTCATGGACAAATGTACGCTGTTCGCTCTGCTAGGCTGCCTGGTGCTCACGTGCCCTGCAGGTAGACTCCAGGCTTGAGGAGGGCAGGCGTCTGGTGGTGACCGTTGCACCAAGGTCTTCTAATGGGCCGCCCTGTGGGTCATAATTCAGGCCTTCATGTATTTTAGAACCAGTCACACCCACCTTCTCATACCAAGGGGCCCCAAATGCCCTCGGCACTCAGACCCCCTACTCCTTAACCCCTTTGAGCAGAGAAAGAAGCACTCTCTGCTTCTCTGTCCCCCCTGTACATGGACAGCCTGTCAGGGAGCATCTAGCTGTCCCCTTCCCATCACAGGATGACCGCTCATCACCCCCACACCAAATGCACGTGCCTCCCCACGCCGGCCACTGCCCACTGGGACCAGCTGCCCTTCCTGCCTCCAATTCTCAAGCCCCCTAAGATGGATGACTTGGGGAGACGCAGAGCTGACGGCTGAGGCTGGGTGTCAAATGTGATCTAGGAGAGAGGATCACTCAGATCAGGGACCACACAAGTAACACGGTTGTCATGGCAACTGGCTGCTAGTTTGAATTAAGACCGCAGTTGGTTGTCATTGCCATGACAAGGCCTCTGTCTCCAGGGGCACCGCCCTGCTGTCTCCTAATCAAATGGACTTGAACTACCTCCAGGCGCGAAACACCCAGAAACCCACTTCTCTGTTGCTTCCATAGCCTAGGACTCAGGAGACCCAGATGCTGAGTGAGGCTTATGTTTTCTCCTCCCCAGCCTCCCCTGACAACCTCCACCAGGGTCCCTCCAACACTGCCCGGGGTGCCCTAGGCCCCCAAACTTCTGTTGAATACCTGGGTCTGTGCAAGGGGCCCAAGGCAATCATCAGAGCCATTCCCTGTTCTCCCCACTCATCCTCGTCTTTCTGTCCCATTTTTTCTTCTTCTGTTATTCCTGTTTCTCCCAGCACCACCATCCCAGGTCCAGCCCTTTCTTTATTCCTCTTCGCTTTTACTCCTTCTCCCCAGGCTCTGCCCCAGAACTGCCACCGGCAGCCAAGGGTGCCTCGGGACCTGAGCCTTCTTGGCCCATCTTGGAGAGTTTAAGCTAATGGAGGCAAGAAGACTGATAAAGAACAGGTTTCCTAAACCAGCACAGGCTTGGGGAGGAGCCCCCAGGCTGAGATCGGAACAGCTCCTGCCAAACTCGGCCACCACCATCAGAGGAGGCCTTCTCCCCTCTGTTCAATGTATTTGCTTTTTTATTTCTTGGGGGAGGGGAAAATGTAGAAAAAGGGCAGTCAACCTTTCGGAAAAGAGTATAAATGGTCCAAGCTGTATAGTTTTTGTCAGTATTTTTTTTTCTGGAAAATTCAAACACATGCAAAAGAAAAATTTATTTAAATAAAAGACTTTGAAAATAAAAGGCCATGCCTGGTTTCCTTACCTGTTGGCATCAGTTACTTTCTTGACATGACATCCAACATTGCCCTCTCCCAGACATCACTCAGAAATGACAAAGGCAGCGACTCCCACTAGGACACAAAAGACCCAGCTGTTCCAGGGCTCTGACTTCCCCCTGACAGAGTTATAGGTCAAAGGACCAAGACCATGCTCTCGCATCCCTGCCTGCAGAGCAGACACCTCAGAGACCAGGCCCCTGAGAGGCGCCAACTGCAGGGAAAACACTGACTGATGCTCTCTGGTGACTCTTAGCATTTCCTTCAGTGAGGTCAGTCAAGGTCTTCTTAAAGGAGAAAGAGGAAAATAGCAAAAACCAAGTAAAAAATAGACCTCTAAGTTAAATCTGGTGCTGGGAAAGGGGGAGATCCAAAGTCTCTATAATAGCTGCTGGGGAGATAGATACATACATAGTTAGAGGCACAGATAGATACATACATAGATACATACATTCATAGTTAGAGACCTAGGTACTTAGATACATAGATAGCCAGCCAGACAGGAAGACACATATATGTATGTGTAAATGCCCATCTTTTTTCCAAGGGGACCACACCTTTGCCCTGGTTGAGAAATGGGATAATGTCGATGCTCCAAAGTCCTCCCTTGATGATGCTAAGCCGGCCATTAAACAGAAGCCCTCTAGAGCAGTGCTGTCCAATAGAAGTAGAGAAGATGGAAATGTTCTCTATCTACACTGTCCAATATGGTACCATTCGCTACGTGTAGCTATTTAAATTAATTAAAATTAAATAAAATTAAAGGTCCAGTAGCTGAGTTATACCAGCCATAGTTCAAGTGCTCGACAGCTATGTGTGGCTAGCAGCTACCAGATGCTTGGTGGGGACAAGGGTGGCAGAGTGGTCAAACAGGCCGACAAAACTCTGTGTTCATTACATTTCAGTTAAGGCTTAGGAAGACAGATCTATGGCACCGGCGCCCCCTATGTCTTCTTTCCCCCAAGGCAGGCTGACATTCCTGTAGTTCTAGTTGATTCCTAGGCTCCCTTCCCCATTGCCACACACTCCACGACAGCCCAAGGAGACAGTCTTTATTCAGTTCTCTGTTCTTTCCTCCAGGACTTCCAAAACTTTCCAGGATAGAGCAGAGACTGTTGTCCAGAAACCACAGGTAGGGAACAGCTGCTGCATACCTGAGGGGACGCCAGGGCTAAATGCCACCAGCCCCACCTGCCCAGGCTCAGCCCTGCCCGCAATGCTGAGCATATGGATCTGGACAATGCTTTGAGCACTCTCAACTCACCAGAACTCTCTGTGCTGGCCCCTTGCCCTTTGATTTTAGCATTTTTCCCAAATTCAAAGTCACAGGATTACAGGACTAGGAAAAAAAAAAAGTTCCTTCAATACAGCTATCTGTCCGCATCATGGGGACAAATACCTGTGATCCTTCATTCAGGAATGGCCATGCATGCATGTATCTAACTCCCTCTTTGAGATTACTTATTCCATTACCATTTTTGGCTCTTTACTAGATGCCAACGACACAGAGTGGTCCTGGAGGGGCTCACAGCCTGGCTGGGGACGGGGGGGGAGGCAGACAAGCTAATCGATCATTACAGCCCAATGTGGCCACTGCTTTCACATTGGGCTAGGACTCAGGACTAAGGGTGTCCTGATTTTGATGCTAACTCCACCTCCCACTGGTTATGGAATTTAGGCCATGACTTAATCTCTGTAAAGGTTAACCTGTATAGGAGAGTGAATGATAGTCCCTCTCTCACAGGGACAGAGCAATAAATAAGATAAAGCATATAAAGCATTCAGCATAGAGCCTTTGCAAACGTTAGTTGTTGTAATTAAGGGTAGAAGGAAGATAGTGAGAGAGTTGTATCCTTGAGCCAAAGGAGAAGAAACTTTCAAGAAGAAAGCAAGTCCATAGAGTCAGATGATGCAGACAGATCAAATGAGATAGGGGATGAAAATAATGTGCATTTTCTATTCCTCTTGGCGTGATATGTTCCATAATTTCACCACACACTGCACAGCCTATAATATTACCGATACTGCCAATTTGCAGTATGTGATGGGTAGGGTACCTACTCACCCCTGCCTCAGCCCCTCCTGCGCACAACCAAACCACCCTGTGTGACAGTGCACCCTGGTGGCCAGATCAAGAAAGACTGAGTCAACATCTTTACACTTCCTATGGTGTTTCCCTTAGAGCGTCAGTCCAGCTAGATGGCTGGGCTTTGAACTAAATGTGCTAAAGACTCACTGGGTTTTATGTGATGTTCACGAATCCTTCAGGGTCAAGACTGCCATGCTCACCTGACATATGAGGGATTTTCATAACCTTAAGTCTTAATTGTCATTACATATTTTTGGTGAAGTATTTCATGGTTTACATCACGGCCTCCAAGAAAGCTTCCCTAACCACACAAGTCTTCTGGATCACAGCAAAATCAGCCTATGCTGCACTGTGTGTGTTCCTGTCTTCCTGCTCTC